TGATATCGACACCGCTTGCTCCTCCGCTTCTACACGGAAGTACAGGGATCTGCTGGCCAAAGCCAGCGCAAATATGCAAAAGGCTCAGGTCCGTATGCAATAGCAAGCGAACCGGCGTCGCATCCCATGTCCAATCCGCACCGGCGACCTTGTCTGGGTCACCTCCGAGGAATTCGCGCTCGAGCAACACGTCTCGCACAAACTCCTCCCTAAGTGGTTTGGGCCATGGAAGGTCACTTCAGCAGCTGGCGACGACCCCACGGGTCCCTCTTTCGTGATAGAGATTCCCCCGCATTTGACGGTCCACCCAGTATCTCACGCCTTGAAGCTGGCGGTCTACACTCCAGCCTCCCCAACGGATTTTCCGGGCAGACATTCACACGACCCCCCTTCAATGGACGTTCACCAAGAGGTTGACCGTGTCCTCGCTCATCGCAAGCACGGCAACAAACCGATGCAGTACAAAGTCACATTCAGGCAATGAGATCTCGACGACGCACGCTGGATTTCACGAGCTGACCTGAAGGCGACAGCACCCCTCATCTTCGCGCATTACGAAAAACAGTGACTTGCTAAAGAGGCTGCCCAACCCGCCCGCCCCACATGGACATCGGACAGGCAAGTAGCTCGGTCTTCAAGGGGGGGAGTGTGTGGGATTCTGACACCACACTGGGCCCAGTTAGGGCCCGGTTACCTAGTCAGGCTTAGTTTAAGGGTCAGGATTACGTCGGTTCAGACCTGTAGGTCGGACCAGAGGCTCAGTAGGCCAATGGTCACAAGGGCCAGGCCGGTATCGGTCCAACACTAGGACCTACCGGCGGCGGAGTTTTGAAGGCAGCCAAGGTTTAGGCGCCACTTTTCAGATTTCAGGATCGGATCTGAACCGTTGGACTGAGCAACGGTCCAGACCCGAGGGTACCAGCAGCCTGGAGGCCGGCCCAGTGCTGTATCAGCTGGGTACCAGCCTCAATAGGTAGGTTAGGTTAGTACAGCATTTCAGCATTAGCCTAGCGGAGCAGCGAGGAGAATTAGCGCAGCAGCAAGGAGGATTAGCGCAGCAGCGATTAGCGCCAGCCCTCTGGCTCAGCCCGCAGCCCAGCACCCAGCACTGCAGCGCCATAGCTGTATCGCCAGGCTTGGCCTCAGCGGACATGAGCAGGGACAGCGCGGTCACTCAGGTATAAGGGAGAATTTGGAGAAAGGCTTCGCCTTTCCTCCCTCTTCCTCCTCTCCTCCTCCGCCCTCTTTCTTCTCCTGCCCTCTAAGTCTGAGTCTACTCCTACTGGACTACTACGAGTATGAAGGATGGTTACGAGTTCTGATGATATTGGAGATAACAGCAGTGAGACTTTCGGTTAAGGACTACTTTTGGGATCTGACTTCATCTACTTCTGGAGATGTATCTTGTCATAGGGAGATCGATATCTCGGACACTGTGAGACTCTGTGTGTGCGACAGTTCGGATTTTCGCTACTTGTGGCATTTCGAGATACTATTTTTGGAGACATTGAGTTGACGTCATCTTCCCTCTCCTCCTCCCTTCGTCTCTCTTCCCCTCCAATTATCTGTGTATGAGGTACCCTGGCCTTCTCTCCCATGTTGAAGTCCAGGGCTTTCACACCACCGATGCCTGTTTGTGAGGGATTCGTTGCAGTCTGAGTCAGGTTTGAGTCAGTCCATGTGTATCAAGTCTTCCACTGTAATTGTACTTACTCTGTATTATCTGGTCGGTTCTGGGGATCTGCGCCATACTTATGTCTGTGTTCACGAGTATGCAACAACAACATTGTCCATGCATTTGGACGTCTTTTTCTTGCCCAAATACATTCACAACGTTGGAATCGTCTGAATGCACGTCGTCCCTCAAGCTTTCAAATGCATGTACAGTATTGTGTAGTGGAGCGAGGCCCCCTTTCTCTAGGCCACAGGCTGTCGAAATTGAAGATGGGAAGAAAATTCGCAAGTTGTAATAGGCCCTGGCCACACCACTGTCCAAAGGCCAAAAAAAATGACTGCTGTCAGAATAAATTCGACAGCCGCCCTTCTACAGTTTGCCCCCCTTTAGCCACACAGCACTGTAGAGTGGACGCACTTGTGAACGCAAGATGGAAAACACGAACTCCCGACCTGACACCCACTCACCAAATTTGAGAAGAAGTAGATGATGGTGCAGCCGAGGGCTGTCGAAAGCATCGGAGTAGCGAGCTGGGGATTCATCAACGGACAGGAGGAGGTGTCGAGAAGCGTTCTCTGACGACTTGAGAATTTTGTTCCCGTCTCCAATTTCGACAGCCTCTGTGGCCAAGAGAAACTATTGAAAAAATCGCGTTTTCGACAGTGGTGTGGCGAGGCTCATAGAATGGTTCTTGACACCTCCTGTCGAAAGTTGTTGACTCCCCAGCCTGCTACTCCGATGCTTTCGACAGTCCACGGCTGCGCCATCGACTTATCTTCGAAATTTGGTGAGTGGGCGTGAGGCCGGGAGTTCGTGTTTTTCCATCTTGCGTTCGCAAGTGCTACAGTGCTGCGTGGCTAAAGGGAGCAAACTGTAGAAGGGAGGCTGTCAAATTTATTCTGACAGGCGTCGATTTTGACAGTGGTGTGGCGAGGCCCTTAGCCACACAGCACTGTAGAATGGACGCACTTGTGAATGCAAGATGGAAAGTGACGGTTGCGCCTGAGGGTAGGATAAGCATGAGTCCATCACGGCCTCACTCCAAATTTGGATTTGGAAGAGAATTCGATGGCAACAACTTGCAAATTTTCTTCCCGTCTCCAATTTTGACAGGCTGTGTGGCCAAGAGAAACTATCCAAAATCGTGTTTTGGACAGTCACTGTGGTGTGGCGAGCCCCTATGCCCTGAGAAAGGTATAATGTGGAAGGTCCAACATGCCCTGAGAAAGGTCTAATGTGAAAGGTCCAACATGCCCTGAGAAAGGTATAATGTGGAAGTTGCAACATGCGGCCATCTCACCGAAAAATTTGGTTGGTAACTGTTGCGGCGAGTCCCTGAGGGCATACTCAGGGCCTAGTTGCACCACTCTCCATACGCCAAGTTTGGTGAGAAGGCGCCTGGTTGCACTTACTCGCCAAACTTGGGGAATGCAAAATGTGTCAGACGGTTCTGTCGAGACAAGTTGTGGCGAGTGTTTTAA